AAAAAAATTATTGACAGACTAAAATTAATTTTTATTACAATATGATGTAAGTAAATATATAGTGTAGAAGAAAAATACATATCTATTTGTGCTTCGTTACATTAGTTAATAAAGTGAAAACATACACAATTATTTCCGTGAAAATTAATTATCCTTAACCACAGTAATTGATGATAAAGACATAAACAATAGCTAGAGAAAACTAAAATTAAGATTAAAAAAAGGTAGTTTAGAAAACAAAGCTCATTTTACCCATAAGTTTTTGTTGCTATATATAACACTCTAGTTGGTGAGAAATAATTATTGAGAATTCAACTATCAGTCATCAACTCAACCATAAATGAGTCTTATCTAAATGGTAGAAAAATTGGTATCAATTAATACAACATCATTTATTGAAGTTTAGGTTTTAATTTATGATGACTATTCTTTACCATAAAACAGTCAGAAGTACAAATTTTAATATCTTAATTCATAATACTTTTTTTTCTTACAAATTTGAGTTTATTTCAAAATTATTGATAATTAGTGTAAGTTTTTTTTTTCATACAATCCAAGTAGATAGTTGATTTAATGGGAAATATCAATATTTTCCAACTTTATTTAGACTTACATATTATTATGGTATTGGATTGATGGAGAGGAGGTATTCAAAGAAGAATATGGTAATGAGGTTGTGTTTTGTTGCTAGAATGTTGTTGAAAGAGAATAATGAGTGCAAGATGATGATAAGGACATGGTGAAAAAATAAAATTTCTCTCCCTATAAGATACGATGGCTTAATCCATGTAAAATAAATTGACACCTAAATGAATCATATCACTAGTTTAGTATGTTATTAACTATTTAAACAATATTACGAAAAGAATAATTAAACAAAAATAATAAAAATTAAAATATTATTGACTGAAAAAGAAAATATAACATTAAATAAAATCTCGAATTTTTTATTAGAAAGTTATTGAATGTGTAGAATGTGATGAATAATTACTTCACTTATTTTAACATTAATATAATTATGCATACAAAAAATATGTCATGCAAAAAGACTCGTGTTCAAACTTTACTAATATCTTATATTATGTATATTAAAGTAGTGACTACTACGTTAATATATTGGATATCCAACGAGTTAGATTATGAAGAATACATTAATAATAAAAGATTAGTAACATAATAAGTGCATTTTTTGAAATGTTTAAACTCAATGTTATTTTGTCAAAGTTGTTGAATCTTTTAAATTATTTTATTTATATTCCTTGAAGCTTGAACATAAAAATAAATTTGATAAATTACGTTCTTAGATAACTTGTAAAATTATTATTATAATTTATTTTTTAGTTAACATGTACTAGTATGTGTAATGTATTCAAAAGGACTGTAACTATATAGATGTTTATATATGTATGTGCTTAGATATTATAAATGAAACAACAATTTAAATTAGTTGTACTCTATATATTAATATTTTTGGGTGTATATATACTACATTTTCAAAGTTGTCTTTCTTTTTTTCAAAACTTCACTAACATCTTACTTTTCGCAAAAACAGTGCACGTTAGTCCTTTTTGCTTACAACGTTAAAAAGACTAACGGCAGAACTGTCCCTAGAAAAAAAGTTGATTAGTTGGACACTCATTATTGACATGACACTATGACGTCATTATATGTGTTAAAACAAATATAGTTTAAAATGACGTGGAATATGTAAAAGATAGGGTTAAAATAAAATTAGGTTAATTGAAGTGAAATTACATTGGGGTAAAATCAACTCGCGAATTGGGGGCCATTTAGGGTTCAACAATCAGATTCAACAATCCAGATTTTGATTCCGGGTGAAATTGCGTTCGTGGTATAATTGCATTTGTGGTTCGTTCAAGAGCGTGGTTCGTTCAACAGCGCTGGAGGATATTAGACTGTATTTGATGAAAAGATGGGCCACGAACAGAATGAAGGTGGCATCTATCGATTTCGATGTCTGCCCAAAGATCAAAAAAAGACTTATGAAGGAATATAATATTTCGAGATATTGGATCCCAAGGTAATATTGTTCTTGTGCCTTATTTATGTTCATATCCAATTGTTGATGTGCCTTATTTATGTTCATTTCTTTCAGCTGATCTGTAAGAAGGATGTTTGAGGATAGACATGTTTCAATCATTGGGAACAATTTCACAGTCGACCTGGATAGTCAAGAATGTAGCTGCAGGAAGTGGATGATCAGTGGCATCCCATGTTGTCATGCAGTTGCAACAATGAACTATTCAAATGTAGACCCAGAAACTTTTATACCAACTTGGTTCAGGAAATCCACATATGAAGAGACACATGCGTCCATCATTTATCCTGTGAATAGCCACCTCCTATGGGAAAAAATAAGCATCCCTGATGTACTGCCACCACTTAAGAGGAAGTTGTCTGGGAGACCAAAGAAAAAAAGAAGATTGGAGTCATGGGAGCTAACTAAGGATGGGACACGAATGAGTGTTGGTAGGCACAGAAAGAAATGTAGCATCTGCCGTGAAGTGGGGCACAATAAAAAAGGTTGCCCTTTACGTCCAGCCATCATAGAACCAACAGAACTAGCACAACCATCACAGCCACAAAGTTCACAACCCCTTGTACCATCACACCCACTAAGTCCCCAATCTCCTCACCCATCACAACCAACTCAAGATTCCATCCCAGATTTAACTCCACCGATAGCAAGGAAAAAGTTAAATATTAGAAGAAAAACTCCATAGATTTAACTCAAAACTTTGATGTATTTGGATCTATTTTGTACTCTTATTAAGCACTTTAATTATGTATTTTGTACTCTTATTAAGCACTTTGATTATGTATTTTGTACTCTTATTAAGCACTTTAATTATGTATTTTGTAGTAATATTAAGCACTTTAATTACATATGTTATTATAGCTATAGTGATATTATGTTATGATATTTGGATGTAGTGATATTATGTTATTATATCTGTTAGTATGTTCTGCCAGGTATCCTTAATATGTATGACAACCGTATTCTTTAGGGAGCACCTTGCACAATTGCTTAGGAAAAGGGGGACCATATTTAACATTTTTAAACCATAGGGGGACTAAAATGAACTTTATTGCAAGAATCCAGATTGTTCAGTCATATTACAACATCAACTGATATTACATGAACAAAACATGAAGCTAAACACCTAAGCCATTACATCAGCAAAACATACATTGCACATTGCCCACCTAACATCAACCTAAACACAGTCACAATGTGATAATGTTCAGCACAATAAGAACAAACACAACTCCAACTAAGAACTTTGTCCTTGTCTGCAACTCTTTCACATTATTTTTGAGATCACATATCCTCTTGCTTTGCCTCACAATTGTACCATCTCTATAATCAGCGTTGTCTTCAGAACACCACTTGAAAAAATTACATGACATCCCAGTTGAAAATCCACCCTATTATTCAGCAAAAACACAAAAATGTATGAACACATAAAATTCAATACACATAAAAGTGACTAGGGTATTCAAAAAATCCTTGTAATGATGACATCCCAAAATTGTCTCCCAACATTCCTTGCAGTTCTGGCAACTTTCGTTACAGCAATATCATCACAATGGTAAATAGGGGTTATCCCAACTCCCCTCGAAACAACACCGTGTGAGGAATGCTAAAATCCTTTACCCGTTGTCTTCGAACAAGAAGAACAACTTTGTGAAGAAGTCATTCCTAACCCTAACCCTAACCCTTTGCTTTTAAATTTGGGAACAACTCTAACACGAATCACCAACAATCCTAACCTTTGCTTTTAAATTTGGGAACAACAACCACGAATCACTTTGCTAACAGGATGAATCAGCAATTGAATTTAACACGTCAACCAAAATTGTATAAGTTAGTGCCAGGGAGACAGCTCTACCGTCGTAAGCAAAAAGAACTAAAGTGCACCGTTTTTTGCAAAAAAATAGGATGTTAGTGAACTTTTGAAAAAAAGGAGGACAACTTTGAACATACCCTACAAACCGAGAGACCAAAATATGTATTAAACCTTTAAGTTTTTAATAAATTTAAAAAATTTCAATTCAGATTCTAATGAAGTTTTACGATTTATTAAATATTTAATAAATTTATATTTTTAATTAAATCCTTTTATTAAATTGTTGTCATAAGTCATTTTATTGTTTTAAAATTTAAACTTTTTAATTTAATAATTTAATAATTTAATAATTTCATATTTCATATTTCATATTTTTAATTTTTAATTTTTAATTTAACACAAAAGTTAAATACAAAAAAGTATAAATTTATTAAATATTCAATAGAACTTAAATATTTAATAAAATTTTAATTAAAAATTCTTAAAATTTTATAAGACTTAAAACTTAATTAAACTTATTTTTTATATTTATGATTAGACTATCATGATTATATTTGCTAGTTTATTTTTGTTTATATGTTAAGTTCATTAATCTTTTCAATATCTAAGAGAATATTAATTATTCCATTCCTAATTTATCTCAAATAAGTGACATCAAATCAATATTTGAGTTTACAATAAATGAAAATAATATATTACGTAAAAGAGAAAAGTTATTATATCAAGGTTATTACAGTAAATAACATTTATTTTATGAAGTACATATAGTCATTATATCCGTAAATATTTAATTTGTACTAATTATGATTAAAAATTATAGACAGAGTTTATTATTTCATCGTAAGAGAATAAAGAAAATGAAGTATATATATAATTTTTTTTGTTATTTTATAAATGTGTATGATTTGCCTATTTTTAAAATTTGAAGCATTTATATTAAATCATTTATCCAATTTTATCCCTTTAAGTTTAATTATTTTCCATTTTTGGCTCTTAGTATGTGACAGACGTCATTATCGTTCACCAATACACAATCTGACAATCTAATGAGGTGGCACACCGCCATTGGATACTCAGAATTTTAGTCTTCCATTATCTTTTTCCAATCACTATATAAACTCCTCCATAGCCATTTCTCCCTCACAGAGAAAAAACTGAAATGCAGAGAAACACATAAACTAACAGACAAACACGCCTTAAAATTATTTTCTGTGCTAATTAGTAATGGCAGCTGCAGAAGAAGTACCCATCCACGGTGATATCCTAGAGGCAATATTATCTCACGTGCCACTCATCGACCTTGTCCCAGCCTGTCACGTGTCAAACTCATGGAAGCGTGCGGTTTCCTCCTCTCTCGCACATCTCCGCCCCATTAAGCCATGGCTCATCGTCCTCACCCAGAGGCCACGCGACGCGCACGTGACAAAGCTGCACGGTTACGACCCTCGCTCCCACGTGTGGCTCGAGATAAAAAACCACACGTGTCCTCACTCCTCCCCGGTGCGCTCCTCTCACTCCTCGTTACTCTACACGCTCACCCCCGCCGAGTTCGCCTTCTCCCTCGACGCGCTGCACCTCCATTGGCACCACGCGCCATCACCGCGAGTGTGGCGCACTGACCCCATCGTGGCTCGTGTGGGCTCGCGCGTGGTGGTGGCCGGCGGCGCGTGCGAGTTCGAGGACGATCCGCTCGCGGTGGAGATGTACGACGTGGAGAGCCGCGCCTGGGAGACGTGCCCATCCATGCCGGCGCTGCTGAAGGATTCCACGGCATCGTCGTGGCTTTCGGTAGCCATCACCGGAGAGGTTATGCACTTGACGGAGAAACACTCCGGCGTGACGTACTCGTTCGACACTGTGACGAAAAAATGGGAGGGGCCGTTTGATTTGAGACCTGATGAGAGTGTTTTTCACTGCGTCACCGGAAAAATAGGGGAGCGATTGATGGTGGCGGGCTTGGTGGGGGGATTTGGGAACGTGAGAAGCGTGAAGCTGTGGGAGGTTAGGGGGGGATTAGGGTCCGGGATGGTGGAAGTGGGTGAGATGCCGAAAGAGATGGTTTGGAAGGTGATGGGTGGTTCAGAGTTAGGTTCGATGGAGGTGACGTGGATTGGGGACTTTGTTTACGTAAGGAACACTTCCGTTACGGAGGAATTGGTGGTGTGTGAGGTAGTGAACGGTGTTGGGTGCGAGTGGAGAAGTGTACGGAATGTTGCCGTGAACCACGGCGCGAGAATGGTGGTTTGCGGCGGCGATGTTTGCATGGAGGATCTGCAGCGTGCGGTGATGTCAGGAACACTTACATTTTGCTTGAAACACATGTGAATAGGTTGAAAAACTTTGTTACTATAATAAGTTGTGGTATTTTGTTTTAAGAAAAAGATTAAGGTATTGGGATTTTGGAACTGGGAATGTCATTTTCGTTTTTTTTGTTGGCAGACAAGTCTGTCAATTTGTTATTGGCTTTTCAGTGGCAAAAAAGTTATAAGAAAATGATAAAGCTGAATCTGAGTGAGATATCTGAAAAACCATAGTGGAAATGGATAAGAATGATGAAAGTGTAATTAAGATGTCTGTTTGTACTTTGTGGGAGGTCTTATCTCTATTGTAAGTTATTTTTCCCTCCCTACAATGAGAGATTATCCTTTAATTCCTTTTTTTTTTTGCATTGTTCCCTCGATTCTTCTCCAACCACTATAGTTTCGACTTTAGTGGTTAAGGAATGAGTTGAAGAAAAGCTCTTTCAGGTTTCTTCATAATAAGAGAATGTGTTTTCTACGTTTTTTATTTCTCAAAAGTTTCTACTTTCTTCATATTTTCTGTACTGCTTTTATTATTATCATGCGTGCTTCTGTAACTGCTTTTAGTCATTTCAATGATTAATCTGTTGAAAAAGAAACGATATTTTAAATTTACTATAATCTTAGTAATAATCTCAATATTTCAATATTTTAACTGTCAATTCAAATCGGTATAATTATAAAACATTGAAATTATAATTCATAAAAAATATTTACAGAATTTACACATTTTATAAACAATATAATAAGTCTCTTGATTACTTTTTATGCTTATGCTATCACCTGCATCATTGTTTATTGCGGTCCTACACTCACAACACATATAAGGATGCATGAATTAATGTCCACATACCACATTTAGCATTTAAAGACTGATATATATAACTTAAATCCATTCATATCCAACTTTAGAAAAACAATAAAATATTCTTTTTCAAAATTAATGTTTCTTCAACTCTCTTATTTTAGATTGGTATTGATAACGAATTTTTATCTTTAGATCAATACAAATGGATAATATTTGGACTTAAATATTAACTTTAAGTCCACTTAATCTTTTTTAATGATAATATCGCTATCTTACTGCTTCTAAGAAATAAAATGAAAGTTAACTGTTTTTATCTTTGTAAATAAATCTCAGTGTATGACTGTTTTACGATGCACATTGACAAATTATTACCGTTATATTTTAATCATATAAATATAAAAGAGTGTCATGATATCATTATTCGAACATAAAAATAAATCTAAATTTCGCTAAAGTTATTTTTTACCAATTGAATAATTTTTTTATGAAATTTTAAATAAAATAGAATAAATAATAAAATCAAGCATTTTAAACTCAATAATGTTAATCTAACTTCACATGAACTTTCCAACTCCATTTCACATCATCACCAACCACAAGTCAAATATTCATTTCTCAAATTTAATAATCCCTATTTCAATTGGACCATTTAATATTGATAACAATTTTTTTAGTATAAATAAATAAATATTACACTCATTTGCTCATAAACGGTAGATGTATTAAGATAGTTTAGAATTGTTACGGGTTCAAATTAATGTTTTTGTTGATTATGAGTTAAATTGGATTATGTTCATTTAATTCATGAATTGTACGACTTTCAGTTAGATTATATACGATGAGTTATTCATAGCTCACTTAAATTTTAAATAAGTTATCTTTTAATTTCAGAAGAACTCTAATTTCCATTCTTTTTGTTGTCTCTTTCGTCAAAAATAAGTTTATGATAATATGAAACTTAGTGTTATAAAATCCATGGTATAGACAACAGACAAAGGTTAATGAAATATGAGGAGCAAATGATAACAGTGTTAGTTATGATCCAGTTCAAAACATTTTTTTTTACGTTTCTTCACATTTTCCTTCACAACAACCTTTTTTTTATTCAAATTTGTCACGTCACAGTAAATACACTGCTGAGTCACCTGGTAGCTCTCATAAATGCACTCACATCATTGCTCAGAGGCATTAAAAACCCACTACACGTTCCATGCATGCACGCCACTTGTCAAAATAGAAGCTTCTGAAGTCAGTAGTGGGGGTACAGGTGTCGACAGGGGAGACGCTCGTCCGTTTGGAAGGGGAATTGAACAAAACTGTTTTTTTTCTAAAAAAACCTTTCCACTCTCCTGCGCGCACCTTCTCCCTCCCAAAACTCAGATTTCAATTCCTCCTCCTTCTCTCTAGAACCCTCTTCCTCCTTCTTTCTACTGAAACTCATCATTTATCTTCTCCTTTCTCCGATCAGACGCCATAGAAGTGCTCCTGGATCCGTAGACAGCAGTTTGGACCGAACAGATTCAGAATCTGAAGCTGGTAAGTCTTCTTTTCAAATCGTTCGTTCATGGGTGACATGCAAAACCAAGACTTGGTTGCATGCAGTGATATTATCTAAATCTTTTTGTATTTTGGTTATGGTTAGCCTGAGTGGAAGAAGTAAGAAACCATTGGGGTAGAGAACTGTAGACGGACCACCGAAATTCCTACTCTTAGAACGTTCACCACTGATCCAAGTAAGGGAAGCTTATTAAATTTAATTCCTATGGTTGCACTGTACTGTATGTACGTTCTGTGTATTGTATTAAGTATGAATTTGTGATAATTAATTTTTGGTATATGAATATGATCATGAGTTGATGTATGAAAATGATGAACTGTGCTATGACGTGAATAAACTGAAATATGAAATGTATGATGAGATGAATAATTGAAAGTATATGCTGGGAAATGTGTTTAATATAAATGAAACTTTGATTATGAAATTCTTATGATAATGAACGTTCGTCATTGAACGGTCTTTTACCGTTCGGTATTAGTAGTAGATTTTATTTGAAAGAGAATTCTTTCATTCGGAAAGGATTCCAGCTGAGGACGAACGCCCTCTTATATTAGTCTTACGTTTGAGCGTTCGGCCAAACGTAGATATCCTGAGTGTTGTGTGAGAATTTGAGAAGCTTGAAAGTATACATTCGGACACTTAGTCATTCTGTTAAAAATATAACTTTACCATCTCGCCATATATAAATCCCTCTTTCTATAATTTTGAATCAGCGATGGGTCTCGACCCAAAGCGTACGTTATGAGTGGCGCTCGGTCTTATACCGAACGCTCGTTCTTTCCTTTAATTGCCAAACGAGAGAAATAGCATTCGTCCGAAACTTCAATAAATATTCATTACCGCGTTCGGTCATTGACTGGCGGTTAGTCTCGTTGATTAAATCGTACTCTGTATAAGTATCTAAACACCTTGCGGTGTCTCTATCCATTTGGATTCGATCTATAGTTATTGTACTTAAATTATTCTAAGTATCATTTGAATTGTTCTAGAATCAGTTCATTTAACTGATTCAAGTGGTCACAACGTCCGTCATTGGAAATGTGTTCGTTTCCTTCTGTTCAGAAACGAGGATTCCTCTGTATCGACTTAACGTTCGTCCTCATTTTGAATAGGGCTGAACGCTCGTCATTTTTGAAAGTGGAACGAAAGATTGAATTGATATTAATGTGGAAAACTATAATGTGCGAACGGTATAAAAAATGAAATTATGGTTGTGGATTTTGAACGAGCGTTCTAGGGAGGAATGACTCTTGGATGAAAGTTGAAATTTGTAAAGTATGAATGTGGCAAGCTTAGTTGGCGGTTCATCCTGATATTCCGTGAGTGCTCGTTCTCAAGTAGAGAGGAGTATGTCATGTGTAGAAATGGCAGGAGGTCCTAGTCCATAAATGTAACTTGGACGGAACAGACTAACCTCGGGTGACAGCTGATGAGAATTCCAGCTATTCCACCTGGGTGCACGAACGTCGTAGTTACACAGAATTCATATAGTCCGGACGGTCAGTCTAGTATCAGGAATTAATTGAGTTAATGAATGGATTAAAGTATATGTGATGAATTATTGATCTGATTGATATGTTATGAAATGTATGTTTTACTTGAATTAAATTCAATAAGCTTACCCTTTCGTTTTCATTGTGTTGTCTTGTATCTGTACGTTCGTCTTGTCCTTGCAATGATCATCCGTGTGGATGTGAGCAGAGGGAGATGCATTATTGGAAGAAACGCTTGAGGAAAGAATCCTGGCTGAAGAGAACCTAGTGGAGGTAGAAGTGAAGGCCGAACAGTAGTGCGTTCGGTTAAAATGTTTAGTTTAGTCGTGTTAATATACTGTATTAGATCGAACCTCTTCTTTTGCTTACTTTGACCGTTCGGTAATTATATTTTGTAAACTTTTCGGTCATCTATGTTTATTGAACGCCTGTAATATTCGTATCAGTGGATTCAAGGCCGTTCGGCCATTATCGAGCTCTACTTCTTTAGTTGTAAAACTGAATTGATATATTAATATATGTGATTTTCTATGATATATGGTTTATTACTGTATTTTATGGGATGTTACAATATTGGTATCAGAGCAGTTTTGTTCTTTTAAGGACACTGTAGGTTATGAGTGCACTATGTTTTTGCTGTGTGCTTAATGTGTGTTTAATGAGTTAATTTTTCAACTCTTTGAACATGACTAACGCTCGTTTTTCTCTTTTCCCAGTGAACAAATGGCACCTAGACTCCCTCCTCCACCACAGCCAAATGAACCTGACGCGCCCAACAACATTAGGTTGTTGGAATCAGTAATTGATAGACTACAACAAAAAAACACTACCCTAATGGAACAGAATGCAGCTACTCTATAGAGTTTGGAGGCCGCACGCGCCAACTCTGAAGCTACTCAAAGGCAGTTAATGGAGATCATTGCTGCTACCAGAAATACATCGGGAGCGTCCTCTTCTACCGCTACACCACATGCTGAGTGGAGCTTGGAAAGCTTCCTCCAACATCACCCAGCCAAGTTCAGTGGGACGTGCCTTCCTGATGAGGCAGATCAATGGCTGCGTGACATGGATAGGATTTATAATGCAAAGAGGTGCCCGGATGAAAATTGATTGGCTTTCACAGAATATCTTCTGACTGGAGAAGCGAGCCACTGGTGGGCGAGCGTGAGGGCTATATTGACGGACGCTCACAGTCCTATTAATTGGGAAGTGTTCAGAAACAAATTCTATGAAGAGTATTTTCCAGACAGTGTTCGTTTCGCCAAGGAGGTGGAGTTCCTACAGTTGGTACAGGGGGGAATGTCTGTTTCTGAGTATACGAACAAATTCAAGCACTTGGTTCGTTTCAATACCATGGCGACCAGTGAGGAGTGGCAGTGTAGAAAGTTTGAAAATGGGCTGAGGAGTGATTTGAAGGTGTTAATTTCCAGCTTATGTATTCGGTCATTTCCTGCAATGGTTGAGAGGGCCAAGGTATTGGACAAAAATATGGCTGAGGCAGAACAACAGAAGAAGCAACAAGCAACCAGAGGACCAATTCTATCAAGGACGAACCTGAATCGGAATAGGACATCGTACGCTCGTCCAACTCAGTCTAGTGGTTCTCAAGCTTTGGTGGTTGCTGGACAATCAGGACAACAGGGGACGGTCAGATGTTTTCAATGTGGGGGACCTCATTTTAGATCCGTATGCCCTCAGTTGGGTGGAGGAAAATATTGCACTCGGTGTAGGAGAAACGGCCATTTGGAGAACGAGTGCAATATGGGCGGACGTACTGTTATGAGGCCACCGAACACTGGAAGGACCCAGTAAGGGAGAGGTGGTCGAGCCCAAGCTGTTGGGCGTGTGTATGCAATTAAGGGAGCGGAAGCAACAAGCTCAGGTACGCTCATCACCGGTACCTGCTTAGTTCATGGAAAATCTTGTTGTGTGTTGTATGACTCGGGGGCAACACACTCCTTCATCTCGAAGGCATGCGTTGAGAAATTGGGATTAGCAGAGAGTGAAATGCAGTTTGACTTGGTGGTGTCAACCCCAGCAGCTGGAGAGGTTAGGACGTCTACTATGTGCGTTAGATGTCCTATTGAGATAGAAGGGCGTAGATATAAGGTGAACCTCATATGTTTGCCTCTCAAGGAGTTAGAAGTGATTTTGGGAATGGATTGGCTGACTACCAATCACATTCTCATAGACTATGGTGCTAAGGAATTAATTTTTCCTGAAGAAGATGAAGAAGACTTGAGTGTGACGCTTGGTCAGTTGAAAGAAGATATCATGGAGGGCGCTAGCTGCTTTTTGATAATGACGCACGAAGACAAGGAAGTTGGAGATGTGAATTTTGAACGATCGTCCAACAACGAACACAGTGGAGGACGATTGGTTGTGAGCGAGTTCCCAGACGTTTTTCCGGATGAAGTGCCCGGACTACCTCCCGTTCGTGAGGTTGAGTTTACCATTGATCTGGTGACAACTGCAGCACCCATCTCTGTTCAACCATACCGAATGGCACCAGCGGAGTTGGCTGAACTTAAGAAGCAAATTGAAGATTTAATGGACAAAAAGTTCATACGACCGAGCGTATCACTGTGGGGAGCGCCTGTACTGTTAGTGAAGAAGAAAGATGGCAGCTCT